CATAGTTTTCTATCATTTGTATGCTGTGGAAAAAGGAATTATCAAATCAGGGGACCTTCATTTCGAATGAAAGTGCATGAAGAAGAGATTCGTTGCTCGATCTCACCAGATGAGGACGAATGAAACTCGTTTGGCTTTTATATGAGCTTCAGTTTGACGCAATCCACGAGACTTCCTCCCTCGTTTCGGGTGAAACGAGCTGCACTTTCATCCATTATTTGATGGACATCCTCTGAGCTGGAACTCATTCTTGTAAAAGTATCACTTTAACAAATACCCAGTCAAGAAAACTGTCCGGCTCTATCTTACCTCTTATAGACTTAATCAAGTAAAAGAAAATACAAAGTTAGATAAGTCTGGAGTCGTTTGGCTAATTATCTTTCATACTGGTCCTGCCACTTTTGTTCGAGTGTGTGTGTGTTTTTGTGTGTGTTAGCGTCTATACGCAATACCGGTCCTAAATCACCCGAAACGAAGGAGGAAGTCTACCTGAACGTCGTGTGAAAGCCAAACGGTGATTCAGCCGTCCTCATCTGCTGAGATCGACCTACGAATCTCTTGTTCATGCACTTTCATACGAAATGAAAGTCCCTCCAACAATTTCATCGCAATAGATTAGTCGAAACCCAGTTTCTATTCGTATCTACATGTCATATGCACACTTGTTGTGTTTTTTATGAGCATACACATGCTCGGGTAGGATCAGAGCCTCGTTTATTGGCATAACTGGCGATAACGAGGACCAAGATGGTGGGGCCGCCGGTGTGGCAAGACTGACTGATGATGACGGTTGCGATGCCGGGGCAACTTCCGAGAATGTACCCAGTCCACGGTCTTATGATGCCTACTATGGCAGAGGACATAGGACAAGCTGCGTTCTACTAAGTCGCCCTGACAACAAGACCAAGTTGTGAAAACGAGGTCAACCACTTCTGGACACGAGGCCTATTCGACAGGTCCAATCTGCAGACACATTTCTTGAGCCTCTGTTCTTTATCGATGATGCTTCATGCAAGACCGTGTTCTCGGGATGATCTAGCCAGCCTAGAAATTGTGAGCATTAGAGGCATTAGAGACAAGTTTCACTCGATGCAATACTACTCATTGGTTTCAGACTGAGGGCTTTCAAGTCACTCTTGCGTAGAAGAGGTGCCAGACTAAGTTGAGCTCCAAGCTCGGAGTGTACCGGCGTGGGGATTCGGAGCCAAGAGCACATTTGCGGCAAGTTTATCCGATTGAGACGAAAATAGCATTCATCCATTGCCAATGAGCTCACATTTTGTCCGGATTTACGGTAGCATTCATAGCCGACCGGTCCGATAGGCACAATAGGCGCAGTGCAAATGTGGTAAATAATTTAAGCATTTCTGCCCACAGACAAACAATGTATGGGGCTGTGTTGGCCCGTTCTGTCTTGTCACTCAAAGGCGTCGGGGCAAGTCGGTCTTTGGCAGCGCTTAAACCGTCAGTCGCCTCCGTTCGGTTGGTCGTTTGGCCCACATCACGACTCGAAAATGGGACGATTTGCCATACCATACCATACCAGCCCTGCCGATTGCCGACTTGACTGACAGCATGGGTCAGACAAAAAGCCTCTTGAGACATCTACCGGAGGAGATATGACATGTGAGAAGGGACAGCGGGCCGGGGGACCCAGTAACAAAAGAGGGCTAGACGAGCAAGCATCATGTAGCCTCAAGCGCTCAAGCGAGAGGTGAACTCATCCCTGCCCAAATGCCTATCTTGTGAGATCAGATGTCGCCTACAAAATAAGGAATGTCTCCGAGGCATATTGCGCCCCCGCGTGTGAATGTGTCATTTCACGTAGGCTAGGCTCTTCTGTTTAGCATAGGACGTAGACTCTGTTTTCTGTAGGCATCGAAACAATCGGCAATTCTGGTTTAAGCTCTTGATACCGCCAGATCCGGTTGAAGAGATTGAGCCACCCGCAGCTCTAGGCTTGAACCCCATGACACCATTTACTGTCACGTGTCCTTGTCTTCTGAAAGTTTTCTCACCCAAAGGAATAAATGATATTTCGTGAGAACTTTTCACACAATTGTGTAGCATATTCATTAGGTTCACCTTCGTGATTAACTAATGGTTTCGACAAGTACTCACACCAAATATCAGTAACGTCGTCACTTTTATTGGCAAGCAAATGCTTGCCTCATTGTCGATTCCACCATAACCGTAGGCCTGGAGAGGCCTATCTTTCCTTGAATTTCACATTTGGCCCGGGAGCCGAAAAATGCGTTGCCTCGATGCAAACGACGCGGTTTTGAGTCCCGCTGGGGCCGTTAATATGACTGATGATGATGATAAGATTGCTGCTGTTGTTGATAATGATGCAAGTTTCGTCTAGTCTGAATGAGGAAAATCTTTCAGAGGCAGGACAAAGTGAATTTCCTTATTTTTCGTATTTGCGTAGAGTTTCGAGACTACCAGTAAATCAGTAATATGAAAAGTATTCACCCTATTTCGTTTAAGGCGGTGAAGGACTGGTAGTAGAATTTTACATACGAAGAAAAGTTGGGTTTCGAGGAATCTCTTTTTTCATAATTGTTGAGCTTACTTCCATTTCGAGTGGAATAACTAGTATAATTATAAAAAGGAGGAGGAGAAGGAAAAAGATAAAGAGAAGAAGAAATAGAGGAGGAAATAAGAATAAAAATAAGTGAAGAAGGAGAAGTAAAATTGTTTTAAATAAAAAGAGTACGAGGATAATGAGGGCGGAAGGAAGAGAAAGAGGAGGAGGAAGAATAAGAGTAGGGCAGATGTGAAGAGAAAATGGGTTTCAAACAATGCCTTAGAGATATTCCTACATACTCCATAGTCTTACGCTTCGACGTAAAGTCCCCGTAGCCCACGAAACGTGGTGTTTTTCACCATACTATTTAGTGTCCTGTATTATTGTTGAGCATACTTCCATTTCGAGTGAAAGTGTTTGGTGAAGAAATTCGAAGTTCGAGTCCACCAGAAGACGACGGCGAGCTTCTCTTGCCCAGCTGTCGATTGGCTTTACTGGAACATTCATACTGACGCTGTTGCCGAGGCAATCTTCTTCAATTCCGGTGAAAAGGTGCTTGAGTTTTTTTGACTCGTTAGCTTGAATTTGGTTGTGACGATGATACCTTGCTCTGATCATGTTCATCATGTGATTGACGAAAGCTTAGCACCTTTGCACCGGAATAAAAGGAGATTACCTCGGAAACAGCGTCAGCATGAATCTTTGAGTAAAGCCAATCGGCAGCTGGTCAAGAGGAATCAGCCGTCGTCTTCTGGTGGAACCGACCTTCGAATCTCTTCACCTAACACTTCCACTCGAAATGGAAGTAAGATCAACAGTAGAATTTTTCCACAATGATATGAGTAGAGCTGACGTTTCCAATGAATTTCACAAAGCCTTGCTTTCACAAAAGTTGTTCTCATCCCGGCTGAAGTGACTGCAGTTTCGACCTCGCATCGGTCTTATCAACACCCCCAGCGGGAGTCGAACCGTGACAGTGCAGAATATGAAATCTAAAGGAAACGACAGCTCTATTCATATTATTGTGGGAAAATTCTACCACCAGTACTTCATCGCCTTAAACAAAATAGGGTGAATTCATCTCATATTACTGAATTTCTTTAGCTTCGTGAAATCATGAGGAAGATGTGATCATATTGTTGCTCAAACGCGATCATAATGAATTCAAATACTTCTCTATCGAGTCTATGTGACTTTTGATCTTAAATGCCCAACCCATCCATTCGCTCCACCTAAGTCGTCTAATTTAGACCTATTCTTACTCATGACTAACCGATAGCTTTAAAATCTACTTGCGCCGAATATAAGTAGTGTCGCCAATTTTGATTAAAAATGCATGCTTGCCTCATTTTGGGTCCCGTTAAAACCATGGCGTGACCCATTTATAAGATGTATTCACCATATTTCGCTTAAAGTGATGAAAGAGTGGTAGTTGAATTTTCCTTTAATGATATGAGTAGTCCTTACACTTCAACTGAACTTCCCATATACTTGCTTTCAAATAAGGTATTATCATCCCGGGTGCAGTGCAGTTTCGACCTCGCCCAGGTCTTATCAGTGCCCCCCGAGAAACTCAAATCCGGGTTGTCGTGGTGCAGTGTATATTCTCGACACATTAACCATTACGCCACACTGGCACGAATGTCCTTGGGCCCCGGGGCAAACGTGGATTTTAAGGAAGGCTTGGCATTTGGGCATATCACATTCTGTGGTGGAATTGTCGATGAAGCCAAGGTGAATTTGTCGTAACAACCGATTACACTACTGTTTTCGTTTTTAACCAGGCCTATGAGACGACTCTTATATCATATTAATTCTATTTATTCACCCTATTTCGGTTAAGGTGATTCAGTCTCGAAAATCTACTTAAACTTGAAAGAGGCTTTCTTGCCTTGAATATCACATTTGACTTGTGATATGGTAGATGAGAGGTAAATCTGTCACCGCAGTGCAAACGAAGGGGTTTAGGTAACCTTGCAGCTTCTGAATCTGATAATTATGTTGTCGTAGATGATGTCGACAAGGATATTAGTGATAGTGGTGAAGATGATGATGATGATGATGATATTACTCTGAATGATAAGTACTTTTGTAATCGGAGACCAAATGAGCTTTGAATTGTATCTTATGTCGGACTCATATGCTTGGGAAGACGGTATGCCCAGAAGTTTTAGTCAAACGCATTTACCGTTAGTTCGAGACCTCCTCAATCAAATCTGCACGACTTTTGTTGCTACAATGTTGTATTCGTCTATGCGCACCCCTTCAGCGACCTATTTCAGACGCAGGCTTGGTAAAGATTTATGCTTTAATGCTATACGAGACAGCAAACCTGCCAGTTTCAGGCACCACACATTTTGCCAGCATTCAGATTTTGGTACAGTAGGAAAATTAAAAACTCGGATGTTAGTTTGGTTATTTATTAGAACAGCCAGAGTGTGCTGGTAGCCCATATTTAGTGGCCTACTAGAGAGGGATACAGAAAAATTGCTCCACAAGTTAAGCATACATAATAGCTTGAGAATATCAAAAAATGTCTACAAACGTGTCTATCGCATTGTTCCTGCCAAAATTCCACCCTGCCTACTTGTGACAGCTGCCCTATTGTGAGTAGGAGGAAGTAGAACCAAGGTTGACGATACTATCATTGAAGACTCATTTTTGAGAAATGGGCGCCACTTCATAAAAGCTCAACTCTCAGACTACTGATGACCTATTGACTCAAGTAGTTTGTTGTGCAAGTGACAGATAGCTGTGATCCATGCCCAGAGATAATAGAAACTCATAGTTTGTCTCATTTGACATGGGTTTGCCAGAGAAGGCAAGTTGGCACATTGAAGACAGACAGGTGAAAGCAAAAGGAAACACAAAGACAGACGAACGGTGGTACAGCATGCAGACATAAAAGTAGATGAACAGACAAGTAAACGAACAGACAACCCTATTAGCAAATAGACAATCGAGCAAGACATACAACCAGACGAATAGACAGACAATCGGATAATCCCCGAAGCATATAGATGAGCATGTTAACTATGCAGTTGGTGACTTTACTGGACAAGCAAACAGAAAAGCAAACGAATAAAAATGCAGACGAACACATACACATGCATAATTTTGAGTAAAGGGTAGGGGATACAAACAAACAGATAGATAGGGCAGGTGGACAGATGGACGGACAAACGAAGACAGATGGGCAAGAGGATATACAAGCATACAATCAGGAGCATGAACAAATAAATAGGAAATTCAAGTAAATAGGAAATTATGAAACATACTAATTACTCTCCCAATGTATAGGTTAACTTTGGAATTAGGTAAAAGCAATTGAAACATTTAACAACGAAAGTTGATTTTCAGCCTATCCGAGTTTCCCAATTATTGGCGGGAAAAATGAATGGCAACTAATTTGAAAAATGAATTACTCTATTTTGCTTCGACTGATCACATTGAAATTGGTATGAAAAGAATTGTTACAAAAGAAGGCTAGCTTAGCAAACTGACCATGGGCCTCAAGAACTTAGTTAGTGAGCATAAATGTATGTATTCCTTTCCTTTTAAACTTTTTCGTCAACTTGAGGCTGATCTTCCTTCGTGAGGGATGTTTTGTGGTAGGAATATTTAGATAGGACCCACTAAACTTAGAATAATAGCAAATTTGCGAAACTGTATGCTCGAGCCGAGGCTAGGCATCTGGCGCTGCCGCCAGACGAGATAACAGGACTTGTGCTTGTCGTTCTTTGTTTGCTCTTGGCTTGATTGGACCTCATCGGCATGGAAACAATCTTCGATTGCCTCCTGGCGAAGTTGATCTACGGAACCACTTTTGACCTGCCATCATGATAAATGGGTGCAACAAATTGATGAATTTCTCGAAGTATCTCGGAAACCGTCCTAAAATTTTTGAAAGGCCTAATGGAACGGAATACTTCAGAGTACACCTTATATTTTTGAAAGATAGTATACAATACATCTCATGCAGATAATTAAGCCATGCGGAATGAAGTTGCCAGTAAATTTTCGTCTGTGGAAAAGCTTACATTATGTCGTGGCAAAAGTGTGGAAGTAGTCTTAG